GCCCTAGGGACTCCTCCGGGTGCTTCAGGGACCCCTGAGGGTCTAGGGGTGTGCTAAGGACCCCCCAGGGGTGTAAGGTGCACTAGAACCCCCCCGGGATGCCCTAGAGACCCCCATGGGGTCATGGGGTGCCATAGTGAACTCCTCCGGGTGCTTCAGGGACCCCTGAGGGTCTAGGGGTGTGCTAAGGACCCCCCAGGGGTGTAAGGTGCACTAGAACCCCCCCGGGATGCCCTAGAGACCCCCATGGGGTCATGGGGTGCCATAGTGACCCTCCTGGGGTGCTTCAGGGACCCCTGAGGGTCTGGGGGGGCCATAGGGACCCCCCAGAGAGGCATTGGGTGCCCTAGGGACCCCCCTGGGGTGTGCTAGGCTCCCCCTGAGCACATGGGATGCCATAGAGGGCCCCCTGGGGGACCTGGGACCTCCCTGAGGTCCACTGAGGACCCCTGAGGGTGTGAGGGTGGCATAGGGATCCCTTCGGGGTGTGGGGTGCATTAGGGACCCCTGAGGGCATGGGGGTGCCATAGGGGCCACTCTAGGTGAACTGAAATCTCTCCCAACAGCACTGGGATTCCCCCCCCCCAGGGGGTTGGGGTGCAATAGGGTCCCCCCTGGAGAGGGGAAGCAATGGGGTGTAATAGGGAGGCCTCCCCAGGGTGCAAGGTGCAATAGAGACCCTTCTTTAAGATGTGGGGTGTAATAGGGACCCCCCCAGAGTGTATGGGACCCCCTCCAAGGTGGGTGCCCCTGCGCCCAGTGAGGCAGTGCTGGGTGCTGCCCCGTGCAGTGGGGTGCAGCAGAAATGGGGCATCCCCCCAAATTCTCACCCCCTCTGAAAAAAACCTGAGGTTGCCCCATGTGACAGGGCAGGGTGGGGGCACCCCTGGGTGCCCCATGGGGCTGGGGGCTGCAGAGTGGGGCCACCCAGGTCCCTCTCCCCAGGGTGAGGGTCCTCCCCCCTGCACAGCAAGCACGGCCGTGCCACCCCCCCTCCCCTCGGTGCAATCCTCTGGGATTTGGAAATTCCCGGATGAAACTCAGGGGAGGGGGGGATGCAAAAGGGAACCTGGTTGGACCGGGCGCATCCTGGGAGGGTTGGGGGACGCGTGCGGATTAAAAGCGGGCTGGGAATGGCCTAGAGCTGCCTTTGTGCGGGGGAGAGCATGCAAAATAACACCAGGAACCCCAAAACCGCAACGTTTCCATGCAGAAATGATCCAGGACTAACCCGGAGTTCGGCTCCTGGCGGGGACGGGGTTATTTCTTTTAGAGTAGCGCCCGGTTGGAGCCTAAAGCGGAGCAAGAATCCCTCGGCACTGTTTCTTTAGCTCACCCCCCCCCACACACACACACACAAAAAATGATGCAGGGCGAAGTGACGCAGGTCGCGCTCGGCCTCCCGGAGGTTTGTGCTCCTTGCAAAATCCCACAGGGCTTTGGTGCGCTCTGCATCGCTGTGGATTTTTTTTTCCCCCCCTATCGTGCAAAAAAAAAAACGGTGGATTGAGGCACGTGCAAGCGCCCGGAGAGGCCAGGCCTTGTGGGTTTTTTTTTTCCAGCAGGGTGGAGGCGGCAGAGAAAAACCAGCGAGGCAGGCAAGATGCCGGATGTTTGCTGCGCAGCCGAGGCAGGGGGAGGAGGGAGGGTGGCACCATTGCAACCACATATATATGCGTTTATAGAGTAGGGAATTAGATACTGGAGCCGCTTAGATACAAATTGGGCCAGTTCTCAGCTTTCTGGTAAGATCAGTGTCCGTTAGGAGCTCGCTCCGTGCTGTAATAATCAGCTTTTGCTCATAAGCACAGTCTCCACGTATTAATTTTTGCCCATTATCGGCACTGCTGCGGGATCAAAGCAGGAGAAAGCTGAACGCTTCAATACTGAATTTTTTTTTACTGAATTAGCTGCGGGCGCGCGATGCTGTGTAGCCGACTCCTGTGGTCCTCATCAGAGGAGAGCAATCAGAGGGAAACGAAAGCTGAATTTGGTGTCTTCTCCCTGCTTCCTGGCCAAATTTGGGATCTTGGCCTTTTTTAGGATGGCCAAGTCCTTAGGCGGTGGCCACACTTGAATACTTCTCAGACTGTTGCTTCTTTGGGTTTTTCCTTGCTAGTCTACTGCTTTTACACTTTTTCAATGCTTTTTTTCTTTTTTCTTTTTTTTTCCAACGACTGATCGTGGCCCATCAGTGAGTCATCAGCTGCCCCGAGGCCTCTGCTTGCACACCATGCCCCTATTTTCAAGGCTGTTGGTGCTATCCCGCACTTAAATTCTGCCTTATCGCCTGCTAGCCAGCCCCATTTCGCACAGCCGGTTCTTGCAGCGCAGCATAAAGCTAATATTAAAGTCCTTGGGGCTTTGTAGTTTATCTTCCCTAAAAGGTCTGTTGGAGCTCATGCCGAAAAGCCCTGCTGCTTTTTGTTTCGTGTTGCTAGGAGCCTCTCTGCTCTACCTTCACTGGAGGTCAAATGACTTAAGTGAGGACAGGCCCTGTGGCTTTTGATAAAGCCAGGAGTGAATTAATGCGGAGCTCGCTGCCTCTGGAGCAGCCCGGAGACGACTGGTGTCCCCCCCTCGGAGGGGTTTGGCCGGACAAAGGGGCGTCTCTGCGGCGAGTCCGGCAGATCCTTGCTTGCGGCCGGGCTCGAATGTGAAAGCCGATCTGTTTCCAAGAGGAGCTGGGAGGAGAGGCAGGGCGGAAGGGGTTTTGCTGGGGTGGGACGTGGTGGTTGGCGTTTGCAGCTGTGCTGTTACGGGGAGCTAAAAACTTGCTTTTTTTTTTTTTTTCAGTTGATAGAAGTTTTTTTTCTTATTTTTTCCTACTACCTTTTTCCCTCCTCCTCCTGAGCCTGGCTCCAAAGTGCTCAGGCTACTTGGAGGGCAGGTTTTGGACCTGTCTTTCTTGCTTTGCCCAAAACAAAAGATGGAGGTTAACAGGGACATGGTGCTGTGATAGGCCTCACCCCAGTTTAGGTTAATTGTATTTTTTGGCTGCGGAAAAAAGAGGTTTGATGAAATTTGGCTGCTGTTGGCAGCAGCCCTGGAGGGAGTCTCCAGCCACCTGTTTCCTCTGTGTTCCCAAATAGGAAGGATCCCCAATAGATCTCCCTTTTTGCTTCCTTCCAGGAGGTGCCACAGGAGCATTTGAGCTCCCTGAGGAAAGGGCGCGAAGAAGCCAAGGCTGAGAGGGAGAGGCAGAGCGAAGACCTGCTGGTGAGTGCCTTGGGGCAGGGGTTTCCCAGGACCCAGTCCTGCCCCAAAAACCCCCTGTGCCGTGAGCTGAAAGAACGGGCTGCAGGGATGCCAGCCTCACACGGGTGGGTTTGCCCTCTTGGTTTTGCAGAAGCAGACAGAAGTGGAGAGGCAGAAGATTGTGGCCGAGTGCAAGGAGCTCCGGGGCTTCCTGGAAGAGAAGGAGCAGCTCTTGCTGTCCCGCCTGGAGGAGCTCGACAGAGACATCATTAAGAGGAGAGATGAGAGCGTCTCCCAGCTCTCTGAGGAGATTTCCCAGCTTGATAAGCTGCTGAGTGAGAGGGGAGGAGAGAACGGCTCGGGAAACCAGTCTGGGCAGGTGAGACTCGGCCCAGGAGGTCCTGGGTCGCATCTTCCCACCCGTGGGGTCATGGTGTAGAAGGCTGTAAAATCCAGGAGAGCTTGGGGCTGGGATTCCAGCCATGCTCCGCTGGAGAGCAGCTCGGATCTGGGGAGTTGGGGCAGCCCCATTTTGGAGCTGGCCTATCTGTGCATCAGGGGTTTGACTTGTCACAGGATTTTGCTGCTCTGTTTGAGGTGGGAAACCCAAAATTCCCCACAGCTGTGGGGGCAAAGTGGCCTTTCCTAATAATGATGCTGTTGAAGCTCCTCCAAGAAACACCAACACCTCCAAACATTTCAGTTTACTTTTCACTTCTTCCTTACTATGAGCCTTGAATCCTCATGGCCTTTACTGCTTAATGGCAAACATGACTTTCCTTAATTTTTTTTTTTACTAAATTAAAAGATACATGTGGGTTTTTTCTTCCCTATCCACACCAGAGAAAAAGCTAGGGGAAAAAAAATCTAATTCTGATATCTCCACGTGTCCAATTGCATTCTTCCCTGGAAAACACTTCAGGGAGTCCTTAAAGTCTTGAGCTGTGGAAGGCTTGAGCTTGATCCACTGCCCGTGTGGGGTGTGGAGACACAATTGCCATGTCCAAACTGCGTGGGGAAACTGAGGCACCCTCCAAGCAGCAGGGCTGGCCTTGGCAGACATCACTGTGCCTCTTCCCTGCAGCATCCTGCCCTGCTTTAACCCTGTTTGGTAGGATTGAGGGATTCAGACAGGACTCTTGTCTCCTCAATGCCCGTTTTTCATGGGGACTTGGTGGCACAAAGCTGCTGGAGAGCTGGTGCCCTAAGCAGAGGGGCCGGTTGGAGGGTGGATTTTGGAGGATGTGGGGAGTTGCACTGATTGTTTTTTGTTTTGTTTCCCCTCTTTCAAGGGTGCTGCCACTGCTGGAAGCAGGTGAGTGAGCCTGGGCTCTGCTGGGTTAACTGGGAGGCTCAGCCCCAGAGGTAGAGCTGCTGTTGCAAGGTCCCATCCAGCTTAGCTGCTTACCTTGGGGTTCCCACCCACACATACGTGTTAAATTAAAAGCAAAAACTAAGGCTGTTCGATAGGAGAGTGGAGCAGGTCTGTTACAGGAGGGTTTTTAGAGGAAACCACAGAATATTTTGCTTGGTCATGGACCTCAAACCCTCCTACCCACTCAAAGCAGGACCAATATCAAAAGTTGTGCAAGGCTGAATCAAGCCAAGGCTGGAAGATCTCCCTGGTTGGAGAGCCCCAAACTGGACCCAGAGGGGAATAATCTAACACCAAACCCCTTTGGTACCATGACAGGTTCCTTCCCTGCTTGTAGTTGGGAGGTTTTATTTTTCCTGTGGGGGCCCTAATGGCTACTTTCTCCTCCCCAGCTTTGAGAGCTGGATGTTTTGCAAGCCGGAGGCTGGCTTTACAGAGCTGGAGAAGAAACTCAAGAGCTTCTCCCAGAAGAGTGCTGTGCTGAAGGAGGTCTTGCTGGAGTTCAAGGGTGAGTGGGAACGCCAGCAGGAGAGGCAGGGGAAGACGTTCTCAATTTTTGTCTGTTTATTTT